TAATTTTGATTGTACCACTGCAGTGGTGGGAGGAAAAGGGAAGAGAGGAAAGAGAAGAGATTCTTCTTCAGATGTCATTTGCACAGGTTTATTCCTTGTTAAACAAAATCACTGCACTCCAGTCTGAGTTGCATCAGCTCTGCTAAGAAACAGCTCCCATTTGGCAAATGAATTGCGATCAGCTGGAAATGAAAGGAGGCTGACAAACCTAAGAAGGATTCACAGTCAGCATTACCAGAAAAACTCCTTCTACAGCCTTGGAAAAAAAATAAAATAAGGAGAAAAATGTACAGCTGCTTGTTTACCTGTCTCATAATGGCCTCCTCATCCATTATTTCCTTATTTTAAAACCACAAATTCTCAGATTTATACTGCTCAGGATGCTCCTGGGCTTGAAAAAACTAGAGATGAAAAATTTAATAGATGACCTGATTTACTGTTGTCTTCCACGAGCATTTCATTTAGTGCTTTCTCTTCTATGCCCTGGTAGTTTTAAAACCCCATGAAATATTGGATTACATAACTCAGAGCCTGTTACGTGACAAGGCCATCACTTGAACACTTTCCATTCCTGAGAACACGCTGTTAGATGCAAAGCAAATGTGCAGGGCCAAGAGTGCAAACCAAGCCTGAAGACTGGAGTAGGAGCAAACTGCAGCTGCAACAGTAAAATACAGCACAAGATGGTTAAGGGCCTTCCACTCTTTGGCCAGTCCCACACACACACAAAAAACCCCACAAAAATAAAAACAAAAAAAAACAACCTACATTTTGTACTATCAGATCTTTTTTATTCTTCTGTTTAAAACAGAGCTCCCAAGACTGCTCATTTGTTTCTGGTCACATCAGGGTGCTGTGTGCTTACTAGCAATGGGATTTCACTAAGGTCATGCCTCCTTGCACAGGCCTCTGACCTTCTTTCTGACTTGGGGGCAGCAGTGGGTAATTTAACTCTCTTGAGCTGAAGAGCAAAGGTCTCTCCCTTCACAGATGTTGGCTCTGCAACGTGTTCTCGAGGGATCATTCCACACCAAGAAAGCTGAAAAGCCATCTTGTCCTTCAATATCAATTTTTAATAAGGCTTTGAAACCCAGGAAAGCTGCAGAAGATTGGAAGAACACCAGACTCATACCAATATTTTCAAAGCACGGCAATCAAATTGTAAGCCTGCTATTATGTCATCAAGCCACAGAAAAAACAATGGAACGAGTTTGGCTTGAAAAGAGATGGTGATGATACAATGTACTAAGAGCTCTGCAATACAGTGTGCTTAGTGACTGCACACTAATTGATCAGGGAGCTAAACTGATTCTAAAGCAACACGACTCAGTAAAGAAATTAAAGCTAACTGTAATGACTGAAATTGAGAAATTAATTATCAGGTATATTTTCATTGAGTTTGTACAGGAACGTGTTTCCAGGCCTGAGCTATTTAATGTGTTATCAGCAAAAACAAAAGAAGCCCAAACTCTCAGTAACATAAGCCTCACAAGCTTCAATGAACAAACAACAAAAATAATGACAACTCCTTGAAAACAGTCTACCTGGAAGCAGGTAAAATGGTATCTCAACATAGCCATAGTCAGAGACAGGAAACTGCTTTATAGAATGTAGCACTGTTCTGTGGAGCAGCAGATGCTGAAGCACAGAGGGTGATGGAATATCATCAGGTGGGCACAGTGTCTGGGTAAGATACTGTGACCAAAGGACTCCACTGAGCTAAGTGCAGAAGGTGCAGCAGCAATGAGAATCACTACAGCTGGTTCTGACACTCACTCTCCACAAACAGTGCTGAAAGAATACAGGAAATTCAAATAGTTATTCCAGTGACCAGAGGACTGAAAATAGACTCTTTGCAGTGAATAGGAAGTAAGAAGGATTACCTGTTTAGCTCACCAAAACTGCAAGTGCAATGGCAAGCACATGTGGTTTCAAAGCAAAGGAGAATTCAAGTTTCTTTTCTTGGATAAATGCATACAACAGACTGATGGTCAGAATCATGACATGGAAGAAAGGATCAGACTTTCAGCAGCAAAAGTATTACCATTAGAATATTCCACTTACAGTTTCCAATAGATTTTGTCTCATTTATTTTTCCTTGGTAACCCAAGATTGGAACTTAGAACTAAAATAGAATTCTACCGAGTGAATGGAAGATGGAGCTAAAATAGAATTCTTTTTAGCGAATGGAGAGGGAGCTTGAAGACTTCAAATTAAGATTTAATGCCTGTAAATGCCATGGCTCATCTTATACTTCAAATAATACAGATAATCACAATATTACAAGTTTCAAAATCTTTGTAAATCTGTGAACAGCTGCCAGCAACAGTAAAGCTGATGTTAATTTCCTCACTACCTGTGTTTAGACCCGCAGCCTTCAATGCCTTCTAACTGGAACACAAAGACAAAAGTACACCTTGCTCTCCCACAAAGCAGCCCTTGACCTTTGTTAGATTTGGTGTTTGTCAACTCACTCCATAGAAAAAGTCTGGCGATTTCAGCCATCCCCAAATGCTGTCTGTCAAAAGTATGCTGATCAATTCCCATGAGATAAAGCAATCCAGCAATTAGAATAACTGGCAAATCCAGTCTCCTTTCCCCCAGTCACCACAATGCAACAGCAAGTATTTCACAACCAGGTTACAAAATAAAAATAAAAAAATAAAAAAAAAAAAAGGGAAGTTTCCAAAGTTGTAGAACTTTGAGCACATCCTTTCACAAGGAAACTCTTCTGGAGGTTTGCTGAAGATGCTCCCTATGTATACACCTATGTGCTGACGCTGCGGTTTCTAGAGATGCACAGATGATGCTAAGGATAAATATGAACTCTGTGCAAGCCCAGGGCATCTGTAGAGAAATGCAAGGACAGAGAAGTATTCTGCAGACCTGGTCTGTTTATGGCCTTTCTTTGTCGTAAGATACTTGGATACGTTCTACACATGAAAACAAACAAACAAAAAGCTATTCAAGCATTGCCATCTTTTAACTGCACAAACCAGGTGGCAGAGATATCAGAACCTGGGAGACAACTTGCTTTCCAGGCGCTTGACAGCAGAAGCAGTCTTAATTCTCAGGATCTTCTAAGTCTTGTTGAGGATTTACAAACTCCCTGGAAGAAAATCAACATGTATATTTCATCAGATAACCTTTTTATCTGTCACCAGCAAAACCAATACCTTCTAAGAGCTACTGTGGCTTGAAAATCACATTGTCATATGCATTCACCGAAAGAACAGAGAAGTATCATCTTTATTTTAGTGTAACATTGGTTAAAACAGAGAGCAAGACATATCCAAAAATAAAAAAGAAAATAAAAAATCCCTCAAATACATATTCTCTTATTATTATTATTCGAGATTTCACTTTGCTGTTAGGGACTGCAAGAATTAGCAACTGAGGAGGAGCACATCCTGCCACAAGTTCTGCCCTGCAAACCTGCTAAGTACAGAAGCAACACAAAGGATCCTAAGGCCCAACCTGCCCCAAGACAACCAATGTCTCCCAGGGACTGCTCTCTCAGGAAGAAGGCATGGGTGGCCCATGCACATCCCTTCAGCCCTCAGGTGTGCTGCTCCCAGCATGTTTGCCCAGACACAGCACCTGCTCCCAGCCAACAGGCAGAGCCGACCTTCTCACGTTGCCATGTGGGAGGCAACCAGACCGCTTGGTGCCAAGAAAGCCAATGGCATCCTGGCTTGTATCAGGAGTGGTGTGGTGAGCAGGACTAAGGAAGTAATCCAGCCCCCGTACTCAGCACTGGTGATGCCTCACCTCAAGTACTGTGTTCAGTTTTGAGCACCTCAGTACAGAAAGGACTCCGAGGTACTGGAGCAGGTCCAGAGAAGGGCAACAGGGCTTGGAGAATATGCCCCATGAGGAGCAACTGCAGGAACTGGGACTGTTTAGTCTGGAGAAAAGGAGGCTGAGGGAAGACCTTATTGCTCTCCTCCAATATCTGAAAAGTTTACAACAAGAGTGGGGTTGGTCTCTTCTCACTGGTGAAAGGACGAGGGGAAACGGCCTCAAGTTGTGCCAGCGTAAATTTAGGTTGGATATCAGGAAAACCTTCTTTACAGAAAGGATTGTTAAGCATGGGAACAGGCTCCCCAAGGAAGCGGCTGAGTCACCATCCCTGCATGTGTTCAAAAACTTTTTGGATGTGGTGCTCAGGGATATGATTTAGCAGAGGGCTGTTAGGGTAGTATGGTTAGGTTGTGGTTGGACTTAGTGATCTCTATGGGCTTTCCCAACCTGAGCAATTCTATGATTCTATAAATACATACCAAAGAGAGATGAGATACTGCAGCAATGAAGTCAATCTAAACTGGGTGAACTGACCCATGAGGTCATAAAGCTTTAACATAATTGTTTACTTTTTTTTTTTTATTTAATAAATAATTCTGAAGTGTAAGGCAGACCTCTTTCTAACAGGACAACTGAGTAATACTTAACAATGAATTTCACATTCAATGACTAATTCAATGAATTAGTATTCCCCAAGGCAGTTTTCCTTCTGCTCTTGCACTTCTTCAGAAAACGCTTTAACCGTGTACTGCAGTACAACTAGAGCACTAAAAACATGAGAGCAGCTGTGAACATCACTAGTTGAAAGTTTCTTCTCTATAGCATACTTTTACTTGATATGAAAAGCAGTGTACCGTAAATCATTTTGTTCCATCGAGTAAGCATGTCCAAGGGAAAGCATGTAATCAAAATTAACATAAGAAAGAAGCAGCAGGAGGCAGTTCCTCTCAGGCCTGTCCAGCTAGGATGTTTTTGTACTCAGTGTTTGTGCAAGAGAAAATAAACTGCCTACACTGAAGCTGTATGGTACACTTCATACCATGGAACTCAACCGAGAAAGAAAAAAAGGCTGCTGCATGTACTACAAAGCCAAACAACAGAAGGTGCAGAACAACTGGAATACAAGACAGGATAAAAATTGATGCAGAAAAAGTTACATTAGCGCAGCTCACTATTCAGAGGCTAAGAGTGCTTGCTTGATAGGAAACCAGTTTAATATGCTTTATAGACTTTTTCAGTGCATTATGGTCTACTGCAGAGCTTAATCACACACATATGCAAAAGAATCCACCATTTCCCTCCCTTCAGAAAGAATCATCATCTGTGTTTCACAATTCAAGTAGTTCCACAGATTTTTGCAGCAAATTGGAAACAAAAACATCGTTAAGGACAGAGACAACTGAAGTCAGTGGTTAATACTTCTGTTTCTTTTGGTGATGTCTAGCACTTGCTTCTTTGATATTATATGGTAATCAAGCTTCTGTGACTTGCTATATAGGCTTTTTGTTACTTACTCATGAAATTTGATTCCTTGGCAGGAGTTAATGATCAGTATTTAAGATGTTATGCACAGAAGAAATATACCCCAGGTGGTTTGATCAAAATCAACAAGAGAATATGCTGAGTTGCTCTGTTTGTGTCCAGAGCTTCCACGTTCCACATGGCAGCAGCATCACTCCCTACATCTGTACTACACTTAGTGACAGATGAGCCCAGAAGTCGTTTTCAGACCTGCCAAAAGTGAAGGATAATGAAGACGCTTACCAACAACTTAAATTACGAGTACTTAGCAAAAATAACTAAAGATAGATGAAGGTACTCAGAAAAAAACAATCCTCCAAGAGCCACAAGATAGAGCTGCTTGTACTGGTAAATCAGAAAACACAAAATACTGTTTAAATGTGCATGTTACATATTCATAAAATACACTTTATACTTGGCAGCAAATTAGATGTATGCAAAAAAACAAACAGAGGCTAACAATTCATTACAAAAAAATTCTAATAATTTATACCTCTTTCCAAACATGTGGTACCCTAGTTTAATATAATATTTCCACAGAAGTTTATTAATACTTGTCTTTTTGCTTATTATACTTATACAACTAACATTGAAAACAATTCATTATCCAGACACCTACAAGGCAAAGATGAAGGAGATGCCACATGCAGTAATTCTGGGGACAAATATAGTATAGAAAATAAACTGACAACACTCTAACATACAAATATTTCGTTACTCAAGATTGTCAAGATTTCCTGAGAGGTCAAGAGCTGGCCATCAGTACGATGTAAATCTCTGGTTTCAGCACTGGGAAAGCTGTGCCATAATGTTGTTTTCCTTCAGACTTTCTGTTACTGCAATTAGCAGCACAGCTTTGACAACATGATTATGGTAACAGAGAACGTGTTGGAGCCTATTGGTTATCATCTATCCCCTCTTCCTGGCATTCTGAACACAAGCTGGCAGTGATCAAAATGCTGGCAGTTTCCAGCCTGAACACAAGGAAAATGCTGTGCCTGCAATGAGAACAGAGCTACAGTGGTAAATTTAGAGGAAAACACATCTGCCTACAAAAAGTCTGCCTCTTCATATTTACAGGAATACATACTGAGTTAATAAAGTGGCAAGGGAGAACAGAGAGGGACACTAGTATTCACTGAATCTCAATGCACTGTCTGGAATAATATCTCTACTAAGGAAGTACAACCTGTCTTTGCACTTACACCGTATATAACAAGTGAGGGCTGTAACTGTAATGTAAATGCTATCACTAACTGCCATTCAGCAAGGAGAGAAGTAAGGAAAACAGGCAGATCTACCAAACAACTAGCACAAAAATACCCCTATCATGACTCTTTGGTAATGCTGACATTAAGGCAACTGATGCTGCAGTTTTGTATCCTCAACAACTATACTCACCTGCCTTCTCTCACCTGAACGCTGTTACAACAGTGGGGAGACAAAAACCCACTCTCCAAACCACTCACACAACTGTTCCCCTCACATCTGTTTTCCACTGTCTTGCTCAAAGGCACTGCAACAAGACGACCTTACCCATGAAATATGAATAATTAAATAAACACTGTGGTGAAGCTTTGGAAGAATACAGTGTAATTCTTTCGAGAGAGTTACACAGCTCCAGATTATGCACACATATAAACATATTTCCCTGTCTGAACTGCTACAGTTGAACTGAATGTTTATAGGCATGAGCCTCAATTAAAAACCAAACCAAACAAAAAAAAACCCTAAAAGGCATCTATCATAATTGCCTTAATTGATATTAACTATTCCTGAATTCCTGCACTGCACCTTTTTCAACTTTTTCTTAGGAGGCAAAGCAATCCAAAAGATGTGACGGAAATACCTTTAAAAATTATCATGGGTGATCTACAAGCAGAAAGTTTTTAATTAACTTGTGATTTCCCTATATCTTTATAACTCACAAAACTTTTCAGGTTTTATTATGTGCAAGTGTCCCATGGCTACACATAGACGGTAAGTGTTTAACAATACACAAACACACTGAGCCTTCAGGAGTGGAAAGGGCTGAGCAATCTGCATGTTGTCTTTGTTCATTTTCCTCAAAAGTATGTCTTCAAGAGGTTGTAAAGCTTCAAAACTTAAGGAAGATGTGAAACTGCTGACTTAACACCAAGATGATATATTATTCCCTTAAGAGTAGTTCCATATATTATTTTTTATGAAAGGCATGAAGAGATGACTTGGCATGACTTCCGATGAGCATATATAAAAGGGTTCTACCTGTACTTTAAGGCTGTATGTCCTTAAGCTCTTAAAGCCTCTGCAACAGGAGTGGGGGCATTCATCTTTGTTAAGTTTTGTCTTCATATATTATAAGGAAATCCCAAATTAACTTACTCCTTATTCATCACCCCAAGCACACCATCAGGGAGTGCCTTTCATTTTAGAATGTAAATACTGCTTAAGAATACTACCATCAGTGATGAAGAGTCTGCTTACTTCATATTGTTCACTATTTCTAATATCAGCAAATTCAGTAAACACTTAAATCGTGCATTGCCTTGCACAGATGGATGAAATACAACATTATAGGAAAACAACTGTGCTGAAACAGCATCAAAAACATGGGAAATTGAACTTGTACTGTACAAGGTCAACAGTAACAAAACTGAACGAGCATTTCAGTACAAAAGGGTAGGAAGCTCGTGGAAAAAAAAAGATTTAAGAGGTAAAGCAGAGGTTCTATACCCAGCAGCAGCACTTCCTTACATTTTGGTCTATCAGTGCAAATGCAGCATTAAAAAAAAATATATCTATATTTACAAAACAGAGGTAAGGAAACAGCAGATAGAGCTCTGTTCCTACTGTGATAGTCACGCCACTAGAATAATCTCAGTGAGAACAGGGTTTCTGCTACTGATGGAAAAGAGTCAGGTGTAGGCTTCATCTATTCGTGCTGCTCTGCAGATTATGTTAGCATTGCCAACTTGTCAATTAAATCATCAACGGTATTCACAAGAAGTTTTGTGTCTTCCTTCCCACTCATTCGATGTTGGCCGGCTTTGCGGAGGATGACATCCACATCTTTGCTCAGAACACGATCAGCAACCTGCATAGAGATCTGCCAAGGGACGTCCCCATCCTTCATGCCGTGAATAAGACGGATGGGACACATTATAGGGATAGGGCTATTGAGCAGACAGTGATTTTCTGCTTCTTTAATGAAGTCGTAGGTCAAGGAGTAATATCCTTCCTCGTTATGCTTTGTTGGAAACTTCCACACACCTTTCTCTTCTATTTCTTTTTGTACCTATAAAAAGTGCAAGGTATAAAACACAGATGTTACTATGGTGTTTTTTTTAGAATGTTTCAATTTATTCTTGTTCTAAACACACTAAAACTTTGCCCCTTAAAAGCACAATCCTTATCTACAGTATGCTGAATAGGATTCAACCCAACTTTAATGCAGATATAAGGTATTTCAACACCGAAATCTAATAGACTGTTGAACAACAGGGATCTGACTTCACATCCTGTATGCCACAGTAACATAAACACAGGATAGGTTCATACCAGCATCATACTAGAAGCAACATATTTTGCAGACACTTTGATTATCATAAATTTTCTGCTTTCCTCCACCACAAACACAGAAAAAATACTGGAAGACTTGAAGGGAAAGTACAGCTTGAACAACAGATTTTTTTTCAAGCATTTAGCTTGACAAATTTTTTGACTGCACAACAGACAACGATCAGCTTTACCTCAATGGGAAGCCTCTTAAAGGCAGTCACAAGATGGTCTGCTGCTACAGCTACTCCAACTAGAGCAGCGACTTTATCTGGGCGTGCTATTGCAGCATGAAGCATCAGCCATCCTCCTAAGCTGGAGCCCACTAGAATCTTAAAAGAGAAAAAATCAGATGTTATTTTATAGGAAACAGCTTTTATTTTCTTTTTACAAAGCGTCAGCTTTCATCTAACTACTTAAACCTCGGTCATAATCCTGCTGTCCTTACCCAGGCAGAACTGCTGTCACCTCCAGTGGAAATTTTGCCTGAGTAAGCACCGCAGAATCTGGAGTGTTATTATTCTTTTTGTTTGATATGGCTGATTATTGGCCTCTGAGACTGAAACACTGTAAACAAAATGAGAGTTGAAGCAATTCAGTATCGCATGCATATTTTTTTTCCCTTCTTAAAATAAATGCACATCACAAAGGCTCTGTGCAGTGACAGAGGTCAGCAAAAGCAACTCAGAAAATAAAATGCTTTTCAAATACAGTATTACGTTTTTCTGGGATGCAGACTGACTTTCTCACACTCATTTCAAAAGTAAATGAAAAAGCCAAACATATTGTTTCTGTTGTTGTTTTTTTTAAAGCTATTTTATCATATAGAACATCTTAACTTTCAACATTTCTGCAAATCCCTCAATAAATACATCAGCAGTGGAACAAAGCCTCACTCTTCCATGAGGAGAGCTTCCACGAGGAGCTCCTTGTCCCTCTTTGTCCCTCCACAAGCCTTTCCCAAATCTCTTGGGACCAGGCCAGGGCTGATGTAACCCAGCGCCAGTGACAGATCTGCTCTACTGAACCATCCCCTGCCAACCCATACCTTCATAAAGTTGTGATCCACTTGTTTGCGAAAGAAGCCCTACAAAAAATGTCATCTCAAATGAGTCTGCTTGACAGCTACCAGATGCAAGTTATTAAACAGAAGCTACTCTATGCAGCACCTACTGCAGTATATTTTTGATTGTACAATATTCCATCTTGAGGAAAAAACATGTTCTATATTTAAGAATGAAATACAACCTGTGGTCCATCTGTAAGTTCATCCAGTATAGACAGAACATCTTTTCTCCATTTCCCAATCGTACACTCCTCAAAGTTCCCCTGTGAACTTCCACATCCTGTATAATCAAACCTGAAAAAATGATCATCAAAAGTTGTGGTACCTACCTACAGCAACACAGGTACTAAAACTAAGCAGTATTGTTTAACAGAAATTAAACAGAGGACAATATACTGCACTGAATATTTTCTTTCTTGGTCCCACACATCACTGTGTGGTTTATACACATATGATCAAATAGTTGCATTTCACGTAGCCATATCCAAATTTATCAGGGTATTTCCCAAACAAGGAATTTGACAAATTCCCTTACAACTAAAAAACAACATACTTCAATATTAAAGGCTCTTTACAAGTGCAAAAGCTCTTCTAAATGCTTTATGCAATCAGGAAGACTTACAAAGCTCAGCATTCAGCCGGAATACTCAAAATATATTACCAAGCATGTGCACGTTTCTCCACAACCACAGAAGGCACGGGACAGCTCAGTACAATTCAGCAGTTAAAAACCATGCTTACAGACATAATATAGAAAAAAAAAAATAGTATTTCACATGCTAAAACTAATATTTCTAAGTGTTTTCTTCGTTTTTCTTTGTTGTGCCCTTAGCTTTAACATGTAACACTGGCTGGACCACAGAAATTTAGGTACAATTTCTTTCAAATTACATTGTCCTGATCTACCTCAGCCCCTCAACAGATAGAAATTGTATGTCTGAAAGAGAGGCACTCATTAGCTTGCATGCAGCACAGCATGCACCTCAAATCAAACACCCAAGTCTATGCATGATACCTATTTCATATTCTCAAGAACAACACTTTTACATACCTGATGAAGGCATGACCTAGACAGCTGCAGAAATCTTCAAGAGCAGTTGCTTTCTGACCATTCATATTTGACTGCAAGCCTGGAAGGAAAATAACCCCTGGATTCCTGCCTTTCAGCTTACGGTAGGCTAGATTCGGTCGATCTGGTCGAGTAAGAAAACTGACTGATGATTTCCACCTGCAAACTAATAAGGAGAGCTATGAAGTACCACCACCAAGACAGCTCTGGCAGAAATAATAACATTTTATAAAATGAGAATTCAGGAAATATATATATGTTATGTGAAATTAAGACACAGGCTCAGGAGAAAAGAAAAACAGAAGTGTCTTCTACACTCTTCAATACTGTAATGTAATGATTTGAAGGTGCTCGGTAGCAAGATCAGTCACATAAGGAGTCCACTCAGCAATGAGTAAAGTGGCTGACAGAAATGGAGCACTAAGATATGCTATGCTTCTCCTCACATTGTATATCATCTGGATTATTTACTTATCTCTCGTAAAATGACAGCTTCTTCATTGGCTTAAAAAAAAGTTAAGTGAATACCAAGTAATTCTGTTCTGAACCTAAAGCACTGTGTGGGATGAAATAGATAACACACAGCCTCTCACAGCTATTGCTGCTTGAACACTGAAAACTAGCAGGGTGATAAGCTCTGAGTCAAGTTCCTCACAACTGTTTCATCTTAACAGCATTCTTTTCCTTAGACACAAAAGGTTAAAAAATAAAGCTGTTAATTTCTGTTAATACAGAAAAAAAAGTATTAAACACAACTCATAAGGAGAAAGAGCTGACTGTTGTAGACCTATGAATTTCTCATCATCTCCTAAAGAGGCAAACATCTCCCATCACATGGTCTTGTGCATTCTTCCTGAAGAGGATAAATTCTACCTGCACTCAAGTGGCTCTGTCTTTACCTACAAGAAGCTAAATATTTTGCAAGTATTTAAAAGGTGCAAGATTATTTAGTTCAACTTCTTTCAAAGTGACCTGCAATGTACTGTCAGACCTTAGCAGTTTTCCCATCAGTACACTGAGAACATATTTTTTTCATTTTTGTTAAGGCTAAAGACAACAATCCAGACACATTTGGAAAGAAACACTGAGGTCTGAGCTGTTATTCGCATTAACAACCATCCACAAATGGAGCTGGCTTCAAGCAAGAAACACAGATTGATAAAGGAAGTGCTACCAAATGAAAACTATGTTGAGTTTCAACAGCTGCTACTGTATTTAATCTGAATTTAGCAGTCAGCTTTACCTCTACTGTGGATGAAGATAAGTGGTTTGTAGAGAGGTGTTACAAGGAATTAATCCACTCTATTATCCCTCTCAGCAAGGGAAAGCCTGGGCAGGACTTCTGATAAGACTGATAAGACTCTGACAATCTTTAGAGGAGCACTGGTTCTTGAATACCACTGATCAAAAAGCACAAAATGCACAACCCTAAAAAAATATATCAGGACACCGTGGTGGTATAACCACTGGTCAACATACTGCAAAAACCAGCTTTGAGAGTGCCACAACACTTAACTATTCTGCTGCTTCCTCTCACAAAGAAAGATATTATATTCAAGTCTTTTGTTTCAGTTTGCATGTGTACAAGTAAAAGTGCCATTTTATCTGTCACGTAAAGAGGGGACAGTTCTTCATCCCACTGATGCACGATGGGGAATAGATACAACACTAGAAGTTTATTTGTTTAGATACCTTCACACTATGCACTGTCTCTATCAGTAAGGCAATCAATTCTGTCTGCCTGTCGGTAAGAGATGCATCAATAACTGCTAAACTTCATAGAAAAAAGTGAGGAATATGTCTCTCCCATATGTACTCATAACCATCTTCCAGGCCATTACATTTCCATCCTATAGCACTCTGGAACTGACCTCAACCTGCCCAAGGCAAAGCAAAATTTAAACTGAGCCACAAGAGAACAAAACAACTCCATGAACGAATGCTGTGCATTCTGCAAGTTACTCCACATGCACCAGCAGCAATTCAAACTCAAATAATCCAAAAGCCTAAAGAAATCACCTCAGCCAGCCAACTACAATGCATACTTCCCTGCAGTCACATGCTAGGGCTCCTCTTTCAACAGCTGAGAACATTAATCATCTGCACAATTACCAGTACTTTCTTCTCCTTATTTCATAGAATCACCGCATAGAATCACTAAAGACCACTAAGACCATCTATTCAACCATCAGCTCCCCACCATGCCCACTACATGTTCCTCAATGCCACATCCACACAGTTCTTGAATGCCTCCAAGGCTGGTGACTCCACCACCTCCCTGGGCAGCCTGTGCCACTGCCTCACTGGAATGTTTCCTAATATCCAACCTGAACCTTCCCTGGTGCAACTTAAGGCCATCCCTCTTGTCCTATCACTGTTACAAGGGAGAATAAGCTGATCCCACCTCACCACAGCCTCCCTTCAGGAAGTTGTAGAGTGCAGTGATGTCTCCCCTGAGCCTCCTCTTCTCCAGACTCAACAATCTCAGCTCTCTCAGCCATTCCTCATAAGACTTGTGCTCCACACCCCTCACCAGTTTCTTTTCCTTCTCTGGACACGCTCCAGGGCACTGATGTCTTTCTTGTAGCGAGGGGCCCAATACTGAACGCAGTACATGAGATGCAGCCTCACCAGAGCTGAGTACAGACGGACCATCACCTCCCTGCTCCTGCTGGCTGCACTATTTCTGATACAAGCCAACACGCCGCTGGCCCTGGCCACCTGGGCGCACTGCCGGCTCACATTCAGCTATCCGCTAACATCCCAAGCTCCTTTCCCCCTGCGCAGTTTTCCAGCCACTCTGCTCCCAGTGTGTAGCAATGCACGGGGCTGTTGCGACCAAAGCGCAGAACCGTGCACTCGCTCAAGAAGCGGAGCGGCCCCATTCCCACCCCAGGGACCGGCGCCGTGCCCTGACACCCCTATCTCGCCCTGCCTGGCGGCGAAGGAGCGCCAGCAGGGCAGCCCCGGGGCCCCTCCTTACCCGGGAGCCCCAGGGCCGCGCTCAGCAGCGGAAACCTCAACAGCGGGACTGAGGCGCGGCCACCGCTCCGCCGCAGCCCCAGCGCCGCCGCCATGTCCGCCTCCACGCGCATGCGCCTCCGGGGCCCTGAATGGCGGACTCGAGAGGAGGGGAGTGCGACGGTCCGTGGGCTGGTGTGGCTGAGCGGGTGAACCCTGCCGGCACGGTCACGGGCAGGTAAAATGCCAGCCAAACTGCGAGGCTCTGGGACGTGAGCGATTGCCGTGGTGTTGTGAAACAACAACCAAAAAAAAATCAGTACCCCACGGTGATCGTTAATTTTTTTTAATTTTTTTTAATTTTTTTTTCAAATGGGGTGGATCGTAGAAATGAGAAAGTTACTGTGTAGGTACAGTGAGCAGACTGTGCTCACAGAATCACAGGATATCCGAGTTGGAATGCACTCACAGGGATCGCTGAGTCAACTCCTGGCTCCACATAGGACCACCCGAAATCCAAACTGCTGCCATGATGCCTCCCCTCAGCCCCCTCTGCTTTGGGCTAAGCAAACCACAGGACCTCAGCTGCTCCTCATAAACATTGCTCTCCAGACCCTTCCCCATTGCAGCCCTCCTTTGGATACTCTCTAACAGTTTTATTTCCTTCTGACATTATGGCAGCCAAAGCTGCACCCACTGCAGGAGGTACATACATCTGGGGCTGCCCCATCCCAGGTGCAGAATCCAACATTGCTCTTGTTCAGCTTCACGCTGTTGGTGATTTTGTCGAGACTTCTTTGCAAGACTTCTCCGCCTCTGAAGGAGCGAACAGCTCTCCTATCAGTATAGTGCTGTCCTCAAACTTATCCTACATCCCAGTCCTGCATCCAGACACCATCTCTACATCAAACCTTTCCCTTCAGATAAAGCACTTAATCCTGTAGAAAGGGGTGTGATTCAAATGGCTTTGGGAACACCACTGGTTTTGTTGGATTGCTTTCTAGATTTCTAAAATATCAAATGAAAGCACTGGAACCAAACCAAAGAAAAGCGGGGTTGCACATCTCCTGTTGATGCCATCAGGAAAACAGACCTGGTGTCTTGTTCTAGTTGGACCTACAGAACAGGCTCTGGGAGATTCTGACATGGCAGAGCATTGCTTGTGCACACAGCTGCCCTGCAGAAGCTGTGCTATTGAAATCACAGAGCGTCTGCAAGAAATGGTGGCAAACTGGGAAGAGATCACTATTTTCTTTTGTTAGCCTTGCTTGGGAAGCTGATTCCTGCTGCCATCTGGAGAACCAGAAGGGAGCTACTCAGCGGACCATGAAGGGAAGGGCAAGCAAGGTCTGGGTGAGGAGTGGTACCCTTTAAGTACAGTTTTATTTACTTCTTGACTGAAGTTAATATACCTGTGGCTCTGTGCAGGACAAACAATAAGTGCAGGTCAGCAACATCTGCTCAGGCTGCTGCATCCAACCAGGCTCTGGGCACCACATGGTAATGCCATCGTGGTGACTTTTGAGTGCCATGGTGACATTTGAGCATCTCCCACTGGAACCCTCAGACAGTTCCATTGGATTTTGCTTGCTGACCAGCAGGGCGGAGACTGTCTCATTGCAGAAATGGCTGCAAGTGCAAACTTTGGGTAAATGGAGACAAGAGAAAGTGAACCATGTGCAGAAACATCTGCTTCTGATTCAGAGAACCTGGATGAATCCTAAGGCTGCCCTTCTGCTGATCCTCCAAAACAGGATCAAGGAACATCTGGTGATGCTGCCATAGCATTGATAATGGATGGAAAGCAGTCAGAAACATTTATTGATGAAGACAAAACCAAATGTTTATCTCATACTTTTTATGAAGAAAGTACAGGCAAACCCGACATCTTTTCTGCCCTCAGCTTTCCAGAGAAACTCTGGGTGTTGGGTGAAAGTTGCCAATTTGAGAGCATTTGGTGGGGTCACAGTAGAAAGTGTGTTGTAATCAATGAAGTAATATTTCAGGTGGAAGTACTGGGAAGAAGAGGGCCTTGAAGAGCTTTTGAGATTGAAAGTATGAAGATCGAAAGTTGTGTTCAAGAACATAATCTATATGGATTCACCAAAACACCACATGACTTCAGAAGACCTCCCTCACTTCTCAGATATCTGGGAGAGGAAGAGGCATTTGTTGCCTCCAGGAAAGTACAGCAGTTGCTCCACACATGAACCAACTCTTGCAATATTCTACTGGAAGAGATGAGGGTCCGAAAAATAAACCTTGGTAATAGAAGAGATTAGGAGAAATTAAAATGTTCTGATCTTCATTGTTGTTTTTTTTTTGGCTGTTGGCAGCTCTTTAGAGGTAGTAGTGCTGAGTTGAAAAAATGTGAGTAAAATATATTCAGGTTATATCTGAGTTTGAATGCATGGAATGGAAAGATAAGTAAATGAGGATACGATAAGCCTATTTATTTTAATTTATTTGCAACACATCTTGTTGTAGTCAGCCTAAACTGTGGGATTAAACTGACCAATGGAGCTTTTTTTTGTCTTCAGCAGTTGAAAGTCTTAGCTCCTCATCTTGCTGTCTTTCAGTCCTGAACTGATAGCAACTAGCTGTTCTCCTTTGCATTTTTCAGTTACTCTTCTTTTCTAACACACTTTTTCAAGAGAGATCACCCAGAACTGCCTTGCAAGAAAAGAGTTGCTCAGAAGAGAAGAGATGTGGCTGTTCCTTCCTTACAGGAAGACCCAAAGGAGAGCCACCTGAGGAGCAGCCCAGGCGCCCAGTCCATGCAAGGAAGGAAGGAGCCTGCTGGCAGTGGATCCAGAAGCTGGCATACAGACAGTGGAATCCACAGGGTCCCTGTTGCTCAAGAGCTGCAAGAAAGCCATCACCCGAGCCCGGGGCAGCGCTACTCCAAGCCTGCCAGATCCTGCTGCAGCAGAAGGGAAAGAACGGTGCCGTCCTCTGGCCCCATCTCCGCTGCCACCAAGCAGCAGCCAGACCCTGGATGTTACTTCTGCTCCTCCACCTTACAACACTCTGCCCTTTGTGGCATCCAGATTTACACCTGGATTCACAGCAGGAGCTTCCCTGACAACCAGAAGCACCAGAGTTGCAGGTTCCTTGGGCTGCCCAGTCATACCATAGCCTATCCTTTGCAGTGGCCATGATGGCAGCAGCAATGCTGACACCACACAACTGGCAGCCCCAGGCAGCCCAGCACTGCCCAACGTGCAGCTGCAGCTCCCACATGGCAGGTGCAGCTGTTGGGCCAGCACCTCAGTGGGGGGGGCATGAAGCTGTGGCAGGTTTGTCCTCAGCAGGTGCGCAGAAGGTCATCCACCAGCTCCTCCACCAGCTGGCATTTGTCGGCCTTGTATGGTTCTGGCCACTGGGTGCTGTCAGCCCAGACTCTGCCCAGGTTCCATGTCTCCTCTGAGTCACTGTTCTCTTCCTCATCGTCATTCTCCTCCTTGTTTCTGGACCTTTTCTGGCTGCGGCTGCCCCAGGCCAGCATACGTGCCACTTTCGTGAAGAAGAAGGGCTTAAGGAAGATGGTAAGGATCGCAGTACAGATCCAAGTAATGCTGCTACTTCCTGGCAAATATTTAGTTTTCCTGAGGCACCAAAGGAAACCAAAGAGCAGGACAAAGACTTCAGGAAAGGCCCAGATCCGCCAGTGCTGCAGGGCAGCAAGGAGCAGGGCTTCCTTGGCTGCCCAGTTCTGCCACTGGCTCCATTGCACTAACCTCTGCCATAGCCGAGCCACGTCCCAACTCAGGTGTTCCATGTGCAGCTGAACGTGCTCGTGCATCTTGCTATACATGAGGTGAATTCCCAAAAGGATGATTCCCATCCCATTCCCAAGATAGAGGCCATGGAGGAGCAGCAGAGATGAAGCATTAAGGACTGACCACAGCCCCATTCCCAGTCCGTCCCACTCATCTTGAGAAGGTTGATGTTTCAAGTGTAAAGTTGAGCCTTGAGAGTAGAGGTTGTAGGAGAAAAGCATTTTTAGCTTTGCTTTTAGTTTTCACTGTTCAACCCTGTCATTAACTGGCAATAAATTGAATTCATCTTCCAAACGCTGTGATGGCAACTGGGGAGAGATCTCCCTGTCCATATCTCAACCCACAAGCCGTTTCATCCCTGCTGAGGACGAGGAGACAGAGAGTGGCATGGTGTGCACTGGGTGAACAGCTAAGGTCAACCCACCATGTACGTACAGCTTTTAAAATACAGAAAATGTATTGTAAAAGAAAATGTAGGGCTGCACAGTCAAAAATTGAGCAGAATAGGCCCTGTATAATCCACAATGAGATGTTTTTGGACCT